ATAGCTCATGCACTGTGCACAATCAGCTTTTTTCTCCTCCTTCAGCTCTTATCCAATGGCATTCTAAAAAGTACTCCTATAACAGGCTGCCCAAGTCTTCAACAATATTAAGCAGGCAGTGGCATTCCAGAAATGATTACCAACTGTTTAAGAACTAAAAAGACTATCCAGCTTTAATAAGAGTGTATTCTCTATGGTCCTTTGAAACTAAAATATAAGAACAACTGTCATTATCATCAAGGTTGAATAACCTTATCTTCCTATTCCACGAGAACCACTCTGAAACTCAAGGAAGGCAATACACCAAGACACTTTAAGAATGTGAATTTATATTTAAGCTGTTAATGAAAAGAGACAAAAATAATCAATTATAGGTACGCTTCACTAAGTGTAATAAACAACTCCCTTGAATACCATGATCTAACGAAGCTGTTTTTCAAGTCCATCATGCCGATTCAGAGAAGCACTGCAAGCTCTGCTCTCAAGAGCACACAGCTCACAGGAGCACACTGCTCATGGCTATAATCTTGTGGCATTTTTTTCTGCTTCCCAAGTCTGTACTTTCATTAATAATTTTTCATAAAAGATTTGCTACTTATCTTTTACCTTAAATAAACTATGTATCTGAAAATATATTTGTGCCCATGCACCTGCTACCTCTCCAGTTACTTTTCATCAGTACCGCTTACCCAAAACAAATGTCTAACAAGGTTAAATGTTTCTTACTATTTTATTATTTTTATTTTATGTGTTTGAGTGTATTGCCTGAATGTATGTAAGTGCACCTGTGCTATGGGATGCCTGCGGAGGTGAGAGGAGGGTGTCACATCCCCTGGAACTGGAGCTACAGACAGCTGTGTTAGCCACTGTAATTGAACCTGGGTCCTCTATAAGAGCAGTCAGTGTTCTTAAGCACTGAGCTATCTCTCCAGTCCATGGTTAATTTTTTTTAACAGAATATATTACTAAAAGTAGTTACAAATCTCAACAGCAGTTAGTATACAATGTGGCTGACATCGTAGTCATAACCTTAAAAGACTTTGCGTGACAAGCCAATTTAGCTTTCTTTTCTTTATTATTTTCTTATTTCACCTGTATGCATGTACTGCTCACAGGAGCACACTGCTCATGGCTATAATCTTGTGTTTAAGTGCACCATGTCGTGCGATGCCTATAGAGGTCAGAAGAGGGCCTTGGATCCTCTGAAACTGGAGAAAAGGACAGTTGCTAGCCACCATGTGGGTACTGGAAATCAAACCCAGGTCCTCTGCAAGAGCAGCCAGTGCTCTTAACCACTGAGCCATTTCTCCAGCCCTAGTTTTCTTTTTATTTAAAATCACCATTTCTGTTTCTACTATAGCTCAGTTCAAAACACATAGGTAAAATCTAAGTTTTCTCTTTTTTTATTTTTTTTAATTAGATGTATTCGAATTTCACCACAGCAATTTGATTTCAAGATGAGCCCACATTTAGTAATCTTTCTATATTTAAGAGGTAAATAAACAATAATCATACGGATTTTTTAATGGCCTGGAAAGTGGATGAAATGATAAAAAGGTGGTCTTAGGATATCTTGACTGTATCACTATAGGTGATCTATCTGTTACACTATGCTGTAGTTCAGCAAGATGTTGCCACTGGAGGAAAATGCAGAAAGGATACATTGAATCTGTGGACCACATACTCAAGGATGATCTTGAGCTCCTATTCTTCCTGCCTCCACCATTCAAGTGCCAAATATACATATACATTATATATGTGTGTGTGTATGTATGTGTGTGTGTGTGTGTGTATATATATATATATATATATATATATATATAGTGTTTCTTATATCTGTACCCGAATCTACAATAATCTCAAAAAGTTTAACAGAGTTAAAAAAAAAAAAAAACTGATGAGAATTCATTTTTCCGGCCTTCTAACAGTTATTATCAAAAAGCTTCTCTCTACTACAAATGACCAGTCAACTGAAGAATGATAAACACATTCCTTCTAAGAGGTAGCGGGGAGTCTCATCATGTAAACCAGGTTGGCTTCAAATCCCCAATTCTCCTGTCTCAGCCTCCAGAATAACAGGATTACATTTGACCTTTTAAAAATATTACTAGAAAAGACAAATTATTTCTAAAAAAAAACCTTAAGAATAAATATATTGTTATAAAAATCTGCTTTGGGTAAGGAAAGGCAAAATTTCTCTAGCCAGAAGCACCAGAGAGACAACTCTCAATAGACAGCACAGAGAATGGCAATACTACCACTCCTTACATCCCTTATCACTAGGATTCAAAAACTAACAAAAGAGCATACAAATACTTCAGTGACTAAAATTTAAACACAAATATGAAATATACATTGAAACCATGAAATTGAGGGTTAGAGGATTTAAACACCTAAAACCATTTCCATTTTATCACTACTTTGAAGGAGCTTTCCTCCAGACACTGAGTGATAGAGAACCTCGCTTTTCACTTCCTAAGAAACACTTCTCTCACTGCAGAACACCTCACAGAGCTTACTACACCAACTGGATTAATTTACAGTTTAATAATGATGCAAAGGAAATAACATCCTGATGAAGAAATTATACCATTTAGAGTAATAAACACATGTTCATCTTTTCCATGACTTGAGAGTACCAACTACCATATAAATTTGTTTTGCTTCAGAAACAAGATACAAGTAACATCTCATTCTATAGACTACAGTGTACTTTGAGCTTAAAAAAAAAAACTATTGAACATAATTTGGATTGTATTTCAAAAATAATCAACCATAAAATTAAGCCATCCTCTAAAATGACAAATAATGGAGAGGATGCAACATTGTATATTGTAAACTGAAGCTTTCATGACCCAAAAGACCAGGTTTCACAGATGTTACTACACAGACAAAACCCTCTAATTGTTACAGGGCGTTTTTCAAAAGCGAAGTGAGATCTTAACATCCTATATGCTACAAATAAATAGGCACTAGGGTATATTATGTAATCTTTTGAAATCAGCACAGGCTAGTCAATTGTGAAAGTACATATGGTACATATACAAAGTATGAGTATGCCAATTTCTTTCACCGATTGAGCCCTTAAGAGAAGGCTTTAGGAAAGTCATATCTACCACAATATTTTGTCATATAATAAATTCATGCCATTTTCTCATCTCAAAATTTAAATCTTCCACTAATTTCTGAAGCTCATGGGTTTTTTTTAATTATAATGCTTTTGAAACAAACCATGCAAAGAAATATTGCTATGTCCACAAAATATAGGTATTTTAAGTTCAAATAATTTCTAAATCCAAATAATCAAATGTGACTATTTCTACTGCAAAGGAAAAGACTATGTTCAATGCAGAGCCAGCCTTCAAGAAGGCTCCAATGCCATACTTAGTCACACTTAGGTTTAAAACCCACCTTTTAGCTTCAGACATTCTCATATCATGAATCATTCTCAATTTTAAAAAGATACACTTATGACAAGTTTCTGAAATTTTTGTCTCTTGTTACCAGTCCAATTAAATATTTTCCACAACTTAAGTTGAAGCTCACAGTATAAAACAGCAATCAGCACTCATTGGAAAAAAAAAAAAAATACACTAGGTACCTACCATGTCTCACACAAAGTAAATCTAAAAGTTCCTGACAATGAACTCTTAGTTGTAAAAATTAAGACATATGCAAAATCCTAGCAGGAGACTGGACTACAGCCACTTCTCTACTAATCATCATTTTCTGCTATCCCAGAAAGTAAAATTCCTAGTGATTAGCGGTAAAAAGAAGAGGCGGAGGAACAGTTGGGATCTAACATTTCATATCAACATTTTAGTCAAACATAATACCAGCCTTCAGGCTATATAAAACCCAAAAATGCATTTATTATCTCATTTGAGATGTTAAGTGACGTGCTATAGTTTCCCCATAAGCTGTAACAGTTAAAAAAATAAAGAACTTCAGCTAAGCTAGTGTGTGATTTTAAGTAGAAACTTTTTTTTAATGTGAAATAGAATAAAATTCACCCCATTTCCAGGTGTCTTGCTCTCGCAGCACCTTAAGAAGCCAGCTACTGTTTTACTAGGGTAAACAAAAAGTAGTGGCATAAAGGAGGCACTGCACTGTAGCCCAGAGACCTGACAGTCCGTTGCTCAAGATGAGGTTGTTACTGCTTTTCTCTCCCTATCTCTTTGGACACTAAAGAATAAATTTAATTAAACAGAAATTACAGCTTCTATGTCCTAGACTGCACCCTGCTCTGGAACACTTATTTTTTAAATTTTAAATTTAAGTTTGGGGGAAAAAAAGGTGTTTTGAAATATGACAAAAGTTTTAAGTACATATACCAAAAGCAAACCAAATGTTAAATATTATCCTAATGTAATCTAATTACAAGTCAAAAATTCAGTCATCTAATTGATGTCATGTGAAATAAATCTAAGTTTCTATTCATTTCTAACAATTACCAGTTTAAATTACTGTTCACAAAATTACTGATTTCCTACAGATTTCTAATGGAAGAGCCAGTTTTTTTAAATAAGTAAAACTTATTATTGCTTAACTCAACTGTACCTTTCATGGACACATATTCAATAATATTCTTCTATCCATTTTTTGAACCCAGGATTAATAACACTAATGAGCTGGAAATACATTAAATATTACA